TCGAATCGAATTGTTTGGTCCCCTTTCCCACATTATCCGGCCATTTTACCATTGCCACCGCTTCGTAAGCACTGCAAACTTTCACTTCTGTACAGAGTGACTCTTCTTTTTTTTTTTTTTTTCGCGTGTCCCATCAAAATCAAAGCACACACTCTCGCTAGCTCCGTTCTTCGGCAAACGCGATTTAAAAGCAAAAGAACCGCCATATTTAGGTACACAGACACGCGTGATAGTAGTGCCCAAAAAAACCAACGAAAGCTCGGTCGCGGGAGTCGAAAATAAACGTGACCCAGTGCAGCAGAGATAGTTATTAAACACACATATGATATATACGCAGAGAGCAAGAGATAGAGAGCCGGCATCGCCAAAGGGTCGAATTCGATGACCTCGAAACCCGGCGGTGCAAGTTCACGGCAACGCGAGCGAGACACACACGCACCGAGAGGGGGGGGCTCAATTGACTGGGGGGTACCAGGGTGTATGAGCGTATATACACACACACACACACACACAAAGAGAGAAAAAAAGAGGGAGGTCCGTGGTGCCCAAAGCTCCTGCAGGTGGCGCGTGCACGTGTAGCGAAAAGAGAGCGAGAGTGAGAGATCCCTTCTTGCTCGTGGAGAGAAAGATTTACGGTCGCAGCGTCCCGCCGGAGGAAGAGAGGGCATCGGGGATTACGAGCGGAGCTTTTGACGCTGGCTGTCGGTGGGTGTACAAAAGCGGCACGAGCCAGATATAGAGAGGCGACGAGTGCATCGTATCCCCTGCCGAACGGAATATCGCGTGCAGCGCGACCGTGAGGGGTGGGGGGGTGGAGGAGCGAGATGGAAAGAGTTGGCTCGCCTCTCCCGATGCTTTTGTGTGCCCCACCTAGCCAATGTATAAAATCTACATACACCTATATACCCATGTACTCATCGTGCGCGTTAAACGAGAAACGACGAGCCATTGCAGGTGCTATTAGCGCGCGCTCGCGCACGGCAGCACCTGAATAATTACACCGCGTCGAAGGTGCTCGAGCGGCGGCTCTCGGTCCTCGAGGCTCCTCTCGCCTCTGCCGTGTATGTATAGGTACTACAACATCGTATCGTGGGTATCCGGTGCGGTGTGCTCGCTTTATGAATGAAGGCACCACGTGCGCTACCACCACGTGGATAGTAATGCGCTTGCAACTGATGCGTGTTTTAATCCACAAAAAATGTGTATCTCAAAGTGACCCCATTTTCCCGTGTGTCTCCACGTAGGTACATATCGGAGGGCAATGTCGTGCAACGTAGAATCCATACAGCACGTGGTGTATACATACCAACTAACAACACCAGTGGCTAATTACTGTACAACGATAAAATAGACCCCACAGCTGTAAGATTAGTAGTTGATCCGAGCCAAATCGGACATACCTATATATAGATACATTATGTGTACTTATGTGTTACACGTACGTCTCTCGGGCCGGCCAATTGCAAATCGTGCACAGACGAGCCATAAGGAGGTACCTACTTGACTTATCGGTAAGTATAGAGCCAGCGTTGTACAATATAGGCGTAGGTGTCGACTTGATGTCTGTAACGGAGCTTTTGCCCGTCAGTAGACATATAGGCACGCGATATGCATGACGTGTGCTGTAAGTATGTTCTATACGTACACCGGACCTAATTAACGGCGCATAAGTATATAGATACAAAGTAAAAAGTACCCATACGTATAAGCGTGGCTTACCTCCGGCATCAGACAACACGCAGCAGAGATCTAGTAGCCACCCACCTACCTCTACATACTCAACTGGTGTGCAGGGAGTACGTAGGTATACGGTGTAGACGTATACCCCGGGTAAGAGAATCAACGACGACGCCGACCTTGACCGAGAGAGAACGATGAACGAGCGGCGGTACAGCAGCAGAGTCCGTCCTCCCCCTCTGGGTTATAGTCAGCCTGTGCAGTGAGAGCTGGGTGTATATAGATACAGGGTCGTATATACGCCGGGAGCAGCGGCAGGGAGAAGATCTTTCTCTCTTTTCACTCGGCTTTTATAAGCCCCGCGCGCCGGGAGGGCCATTGCCGGCGCTTTTCTCTCGCCCGGCCCGGCGCTACGCTCATTACACACCGGCTCTCTTCCCGCTTGTATACGTACATATATATGTACATGCTGTTCCGGCTCTCTCGCTCGTTATATTTTATATGTACATGTATACACCTCGGGGCCGCCTCACCGTCTGGCGCGAGTCTGCCGCTCTGGTACGACCTTTTACCAATACCTGTCTTACGCTATACATGTACAGCGTGAGGCTGGCCTTACTCGTCTGTTTCTACTACTACGAGGGTATCCTCGAGCTTGCGTGTTGTTCCCACGTTTTACTCAATCAACTGGATACGCCTCGTCCAAATTTTTACTTTGATCTTACGCAACGGTTCTTGAGAGTTACGTTTTGCCAAATGCAAATATTTATCGTCGCTCGTTTGGTCGCGCGGATAAGGCGTCCTCGACGATAATACGCAATTAAATTTCTCTTCCCATGTATATGTGTACATACGCATTTGCAATGGCCTACCGTGTATATGCCTTAACTCCTTGGTTGAAATGCATAATTATAAATATGCATTCGGATCGGAGGGAGCCTCCCGCCTATAGTTTGTCGCTGACAGGCTTCTTTTTTCCCTTCAACTAGATCATTTGGGTCGATGGTCACGTCTCTCGTTATACCTGCTACAAATACCCAATATACGCACACTTTGTGCTACCAGATGCTGTCTCGTTAGTGGAAAACATATCACGCGTCGTAAGTATATTTAAGTGGCGAAGCATCGTGGAAACTCCGTGACCCGGGTGATCTCGCCACGCTTCTATGAGCTCGCGTGTATCTTTTGTACTTTTGGCAAGAAGGCAAAGGGCAGTGGTATATTGGTGTGTTTGAGTACTTGACGTGTGCTCAAAACAACAAATGCAAATTCGGCGTTTTGTGTATAGTCTTGCTCATTATCATCGTTATCATCATCATTATATTATTCTCTTTGCGAGTTGTTTTGTTGTTCACATATAATATAAAGTGCAACGTATCGCAAACGCTCATTTTCTCCATGGGATCTTACGTGTTACGCGTATAGATAAAAAACTCATACGATGAAACTTAGAACGTCACGCTCGATTGCGATAACAGAATTTAATCATAGCTCCGTGTTCTTTCTCTCTCGATACTCAAAATTAAATATTTTATCATTTCTCCGGTGCTGTTTGTTGTTGGGCAGGACTAAATATCTACAAGTTGTTGCGACCATCGACGAACGAAATTATTTTTTGTGCGAACTTGTCAATCCCGAGATACGAGATTAATATATATTTTAATCGCATCGAATTTCCGAAACTCGAGAGAGAACTTTGTCATTAATAGCAAGTCAAAGCTATTAGATCTCGCAATGAATGTGTTTTCAATATCTAAAGTATAATGACACTTTTCTTACACAACTTGGACGACAAATTTGCCGGGGTCGTGATAAAACTCGCGGTGGTATGTCAACAAGCGCGATAACAACAAAACGCGGTCCAATCGCTTCTGATAAAAAATATAAGCTATATAACTCTCTCGAAGTTTAAAAAAAAATATCGGGGAAATCGAACTCGACGTTATATTTTTACCAAAAGCTGCTTTTGGACACCAAATTGAAATTTCGATCGAAACGGACACACGCGATCGAATTAGATTTCCATTCGAAGCACAAATCTAGTGATTTTTCTCTATCCCTTCCCCCCTACCCTCGTCTCTTTTTTTTTTTCTTTCTTCTCTCGTGACCCAGTTTGTCTCTCCTTTTCACGCGGCGCCCTGCACTCTGCTTGAGAAACATGACGACCCAATTCTTATATGTTTCTTGCATAAGACGTCGCATTTTATTTGTTTCAAACAAACACACACAACCCGACAGAGCAACCAACCAACTTTGTGCCTTCTGCTTATGATGTATTTAAAACAATGTGCATTATTCAGCCTTGGACTTAATTTAGATTGAATGCCTGAACTTTCCAAGTGTCTCTCACACTTTCGCAGCGCGCGTCACTGCCTTCGTATACGTATCATACAAATGCACGCGAGTGCGAGCGAGGGGAGAGGAAACACGCGCGTATTGGTTGCTGTACCTCTATACACGTGCAGTATTATACCTCCTCCTGCAGTTCTCGACAGCGGCTGTGTGTGTGTGCAATGCACTTTATCGGGGAGATGGCGAACCGAGTTTTGCAGCGAGCGGCACACGAGAGGGGGGGAGCATATCTAATGTCCTACTTAGCGATTCTAAAATTGTACGATTTGCTTTTAGTTGCCTTCTTCTTCTTTCATCCATGTCATATCTTCTGCTCCGCACGGAATGGAAATGTGTACGAGGATACAATGTGTATTTGTATTTATTTATTTATATACCTATCAATTGGCATTTTGTACTACCTATAGTTACAGGTACCGCGAATTTGCATAAACATACTCGGAGATGCATCATTCGTCTGGCTGAGTTACATTTTTGTTCGAAAGACAACATTTACCAGCACCGTCCGAACGAAAGAACGAAGAGACGGACTTTGATTTAAGTAGAAACAGCCGTGTACGCGCGTACACATTGACGTCACATCGAGCCGTGCTTTGAAGCTGAAATCAGGGAGGGGGGAGGGGGAGAAATGACAAACTAAGTAAGCATTGAAAAAAACACCCGATGCAGCAGCATATACGAGAGTAATAGTCATGTAAAAAAACGAGCATCATCATCAACAACATAATATTAGTCGACATCGAGATACAGAGTAGGTGGCCGTGTTGGCGCTTGCTTCCGCCTAGATGAGGAGGTGGTGGTTTCGCGGAGAGGCAGCGTCGGCGCGACGAGAGGGAGAGGAATATATACGTCCACGCACGTTGGGGTCTGTGGGTATATATACACGTACACACAGCAGCAGCACAGAGAGAGCATAGCTGGTGGGAGCCGCGAGAAAGAGGAGGAGGAGGAGGTGGTGGAAGAGGCAACGGCGCAGAGGAGCCTCTCCACCAGTACGGTGCACTGCACCTACGGCTACTACAGCGGCAACACGTATCTCTCTTGCCTAGTGTACCGTTGGCGCGCGCTCGCCTCTCGGCTATTGTATCACTCCATACACGTAACACGCGCGATATACGTAATACACGCATTTTTGCTTTTTTGTTTTTTTGTTTTTTTCGGCGCGTACGAAGCCGTGCCGGCACCTCTCTCTCGCGCGCGTTTTAATCATCCCCCTCTTTTTTTCCTCCCGTTCATTCATTCCCGGCTCATTCAGCCCCCCCCCCCTACGCTCGTGTAACCCCCTCGGGCTTCTTCCCTTGTTATTCCCCACGGCAGAGCGGGGGACCGCTTTCGGCACCGGCGCCTCGCTCTCTCCACGCACACTTTTACGACCGACCCAACCTACTCCTCCCCCTTCGTCCTTGGCACTGCTCTCGCCTTAATTCCCTCCACCCGTCCACCCACTCGCCTGCTACACCTCTTTTTTTTCTCTCCCTACTGGAGTGCATTTCGGGCCGTCACCCTCTGCTTCTTTTGGCCTGCTACGACTGAAACGTCGTCACGTGTGTTCGGGGTGTTTTGTTGTTGTTGTTGGTGGTTGTCGGCAAGTGTACTGTGTGTCAACTCGTTTAAATTATTGTGCCCCAAGGAAGATAAAGAATAAGATACGTCATCGGTTTGAGACAAAAAAAAGTGTGATATATATATATATTACGTGGTACTTTTGAAGTACGAATTGTTGGAGGGGTTTGCCTGCCGACAGTGACTTTTGTGCACAATATATTGTATTATGACCACCGGCGACGCCCTGCTCGCGTCGCGCAGCCGAGGTGCAACAGTGTCGTCGCTTTGCTGAAAACACGAGGGAACGCTTATTCTGGTTATATACATATATATATCCAAGGGATCCGTGGTCCGTCAAAATTGCCAAAATTGAAGATTTATACTCGGAGGGCACGATGAGCGCTGACGGCATCGTCGGGGCTATCGCCATCAGTCTCTTTGGTATTTATTTATTTGTTTGTTCAAATATATATATATATATATATACACGTATTTGACGATTTATATCATTGCACGCGAATTGGTGTGAATGTACATATTTGTACGATGATAGAGATGTAGTGCGTTTCGTGATTGATTGATTTGATCGGTCTGTCGTAGGTGTGTCAAATTTTTTCGAAAGACAACACGAACAACATCAACGATAAACATAACGCATTGGGTGCCATTGTTAACCGCGCGTACGCGTTCCCATTGAATTTGCAATTAGTCGCGTTATGTATGCGCGTCCCGGAGATCGCTGAGATCGATCATTTTGAAGGATACCCTTGGTGCTCGCTTATCTACATGTCCATAAATACATACTTGTGGATAGATAAAGAGAGAGAGAGAGAGATGTCGAGCTGATGAAAAAATAAATATGCATGATCCAGTTGTAATGACTTGATGACTTGTTTCCTTCTTCGTTATTGCTCCTCGGCATGGATCAACGTGGTGTTGGTGTACAATGTTAAGTATATAGAGGGTGCATACATATAACACTGGGATTACTTTTTTTTCTACCTCAGCCCCGTACACAGTTTAAATAAAATTTTATCTCGATGAAGTACGAGTGATTCAAAAGACTAAATAGAAACTTGATAATCTTCCCTGAAAACTGTGGAATACCTAAATATCTATGTATATAGGTGTACTCGACGTTGGGTACATAAGGCAATAATATTCCGAAACTTGGATAGATTATCTCGTATTTTCACTAAAGATTTTAACAAATAATTGTTTTATTATAACCACGATCAACTTTCATATTTTACTGCTTAAATTATTGATAATAATTCTGAGTTGACATAAAAAAAAATCGCAGGTAGTTGTTCGTCAAGTGACTCTTTACAGAGTCTCAATTTAAAGTTTGACTTAAGAAAGAAAAAACAAAAAAAATCATCTTCACCCAACTTTTGAACGAAATGCCCACCTTATTTAAATCATCCCTCTTTGAAGTATCTAATTCTAAAAAAAGTCTCGAGTCCATAACCTGCACTTATTTTCCCTAACGTACGATAAAAATCGATAAAAATATCGGAATTTTCCGCGACTGCAGCCCAACAATCGGCACTGCTCATACCGAGTAAATGCAGTAAAGTATACTTAACATCAACCAAGCGAATCGTACTGTACAGTCGTCGTCTGCACGTGAATGACCGCGTGTGCAGCACCAACACACACCTTCACTCCGACTCGTCTTTCGCTGCTGTTACGATGTGTCGTCGCGTAAACAGCACACTCTTCCGTTATACGATGCTCTTTTTGGATCGCACACCGATTAGCGACGTCATAAACATGATTTACGTGTGGGCCCGCGAGCATCTTTTGCTCATACGTAACATGGAATTGTTTAAAATAGTTGGGAGTCTCGTTCGTTTTGCTACTTGTCCAACTGGTAATAATACATAACGAATCTCGATGGTCGGGGGTTTACGAAAAATCTTGTACTTTTTTTCATCGGCGTTGAGATACGAGAAATCTACTTTCGCGTGACGTAAATTAATCGATTGAGCTCAAACCTCTGAGACAAAAGGCTCTTCGTAATGCAAACGATGGAAGTACCAAGCCATTCTTTTACGTGTATATGTAAATCACAGAGCTCATCGAAAAACAAATGTAGAGCACTGACATACCAATGCTCGTATTTTCTGTGTACGAGGCACAAGTTGGATTTTTTTTTTTTCCTCATTGCCAGGCCCAGTAGGTCAAATTAACGTAAATTTCCAATAAACGTATAAAATAACAATACTTGGTTGTTGGTAATAGATTTATGTTATACTCATTATGTCGAAGCAATTGAGTTGCGCGAGTAAAAAATATACGCCGATGCTAATCAATGACCGAAACGACACTTGAACATTTCTCATTTATGATCACGAAAATGTGGGTTACGTGCGTTGCAAACTCTTGCACGCCATAACAGTCTTCTAGCTCTTTTTGGTAGAAATTGTGTGGATCAAGCAATTAGTATACATTTGTAGGCTGACATGACTACTTATACCTACTCACTTGTTCGCGTCCAATCTGAACATAGCCGGTCAACAAAAAGCCTTTAGCTCAACAAATTGTGTTTGCTCATTGACACCGCAGTGTGAGTTGGAGGATTGTTTTATCTATTGTTCGTGAAGAGTTGATTTCCACGGTATCGGTAGCTGACGTGTGATGATACGAGTTCGTACATTCATGCTTTTGATGGTGAAGAATGTCTTGATCCGAGTGTCGAAAAAGTCGTATCTTTGTGGGAAATGTTAATGCCTCGGAAGTACGGGCAAAAGGTATATTTGTAAAGCACATTTCGTTTTATTCGAGGGAGGAAAATTGTGTTTGCCGGGCCGAGGGGGAGCGTATAAGCAACTTCTCACATAAAAATTTAACAGCCACAGATCACGAACGAGGAGACCGTTCTACATCAAAACTTTATGTTCCTTGACATTAAATTGGTCATGTATTGTAAAAGTTTGCCCAGAGAGTGCACGCGCGCGTCATCAAAACTTTGTCACTGTAAAATGCCAAAAGTTGTTTTAAAATTAAAAACTTGTTTTTCAACGACATTTATATGTATATACACTCACACAAACGCATGATGCTCGAGCAGAGTACAAGATTTTATTGAAGAATGTTTGCTGCTGTTGCCAGCAGTGCCAGTTATGTATACAATCGTGTGTATTATTACGGTAGCGCTCGTATAGGAAAGTTTCGTGCCGGTAATGATGTTGTTTGTACGGACGTAAATTTTCATTCCTCAGACATTTCTCTTTCATCTTTCTGCTTGTGCTCGCGCTGCCGGTAAGATTTTTAATTGCCCGAAAACTAACATTTATACGCGTTTAGATGGTTAAATTGATAGTTTACTTAATTTTATTTTGTCAAACAAAGATACGGGTAAAAATAAAAAGTACGAATTTGGTCTATATCGTTTTTACATGATTCGTGAATAGGTACTTGCTCGAAAAAAATATTCAGTTTTGCTGATACTCGTCGAATGAATGTGGGTTACTAAACTAGGCAATCAAAAGTACTTTACTAGATATTTGTTCGAATTTTTTGTCGATATCTAGGCATGTATGTGGTTACACCTACTTTGTGTAAATCTGAATTATTTGAAGCATTTGGTGATGTTGGTAAAAAAACATTTTTATCCATGTATGAGAAATTTTCTCCTGGTATTTACTACACGCCATTAGCCAGCACCAAAACAATTTTATCCATCTCCGATCTTCGCAATGATGCACATCCAATATCCAAAGTATAATTAGAGCGTAAAACTTTATATCTACGTAACATCTATTTTCTAAACTTTTGCTATTTGTAGACGATCGCACAATTACATTTGTTGTGATTCAGTGGTAAAAAGATTGGCAAAAAGCCAGACATTATTTTCTATTTTAAAACACGGGATAAAGAAGAGAAATGCGTTTTAGTATCCCTCTCACACTCTTTGGTCGAAGAAAACGATGTGCCACCAAATGAGAACACTGTATGAAATCCTGTAATGGCGAAACGAATTTAAAACGGCGAAATAATGATGATTTATTGCCACGATGGAGAGTAACTTAGAATCAACCCAGAATATAAATTATTGCCGAGAAAACTGTTGCGTCCAAGTCGATTTATGGCTGGAAAAATTTTATCTTTATTTTTTTTTTTTTTTTTTTTTATAAAAAAAATTACCTTTGTATTACCGTGACTCGGTTAACCAATACGAATATGCGCGCAGCTTTGTATTCACTGCTGCACTGCACTCGGCACAGAAGTGCATAGATTAGAAAGCGCCGAGAAATCACGCTAAACGTTGACGAAATGCTTTCGAAACACGTACCACCTCATTTTTCCCCATATGCTCACTGCCTTCCCCCCCCCCGTCCCCGTTTTCGCTATGCCATCGCGAGGTAATTAATAGCCTCAAGTTTTGCCGAGTTTGGGGTGGATGTAAATAATTGATTTACGTAACCCTCCCCGCGTGGAATCGCTTCGCTGTATAAACATCTACACACTTTTTCATAATATTTTAAATTCCGGGAGAAAGGTATTCCAAAAATGCTTTGGCAGTGATCCGTTGCGCAACTCATCTCGAGACTCATCTCCTCTCTGGGAAAAAAAAAAAAAATACTCAGACCAATGAGCCTCGATTTAACAGAATCTCGCGAGAATCGCGCAAAACAAAAAATTCCTCCTCGACTAATGCCGGATTCTCATGCGATCGGTGCGATGCCATTTGGGTTACTGTAAATTTTCGCTAGTACAAATAGTTTTCCAAAAGCTGTCGGTGGGTTTCTAAACTTTCCATCGTCAACAGCTCTTCTTTCGCTCGATGTGTTTGCGCGAGCGCATTCCGCGATGAGATCGTATAGAAAGCCACCGCAACGTTTAGGGGGGGGGGGGGCACACACATACACACACGCGCACTCATTTGCTTTATTGCCCGTGTGACGTAATATCGGGCTGCTGCGATCGTAATTCTCCTATTTAAATTGGCTCGTTTATTTTAGTTGGCAAAAAAAGAAGCCGAGAGAAAAGGAAAGAGGGGGGGAAAAAAAAAAGAAAGAACGAGAGACAAGAGCGGATAGCTATAAATATTGCACGCTCCCTGTAATTGCCCGCGAACGTGGATGTGTAGGCACGTGAAAGGCGGTCTTAATTTCTGAGATCGCGCGGTGTATAATTTTTTTTTTTTTTTTTTTCCTCTTTTCTTTCTTTCTAATTTAAGGGAAATAATACGTATGGTGCGATTGTTCATTACAGGTTNAAATTTCTCAGGTTTTTTTTTTTTTTTTTTTTTTTTTTCATTTTTTTACTGTATAGACTAGGCTGAATGTCTAAAAAAAAAAACTTTATTTAAACTGACGAAACGTGTACATTGACCTGTAAAAGAGTCTGATCGAGTGTTTACCTTTCCAGGCAGCGAGAAGAAACGAAGAGACAGCTCGGACTCTAGCTACTCGTTGCTGAACGGTGAACTCGACGCGGCCAGAATGTTCGATCAGTACAGCTACAAGGTGAGTACTCGTCTTCTCTCCTTTTACAACATCGACGACGTCTATACCCGCGCTATTTTTCCTTCCCCCGTCTCTGCTTGACATTTTTTATTTGTCACTGCGTGCAATTTTTATAATCCCGCGCAAATCCTTCGAGAATCCCCATTGAAGTCGTTCACTTTGCACTTTGCGCTTATGCCGATGTTTTTCAGTTGAATGGTGTTACAATTTCTTCGCACTGGGAGGGGTTATTCTTTTATTTTTTTTCCTTTTGTAATAGTCATTGGATTTCCAATTTTTTTTTCTCACTACTTGCATGACGCTTCATCAACTTTATTGGTTATTTTTTCATCTTCAACAACAAAAGAGGTTGGATTCAAATTGTTACAAGTCTTGACGAGGCATTGTGTGTGAATATATTATCTCCGTCACCGATAAATTGATCGTTAAATCGCAGGGGCGGTCTATTAATATAAAAAATCGATGAGCGTGCAAAAATAAGACTCTGATCATTAATTTTATTTCAAAAGTCAGGGTTGCTTCTGCTTATCGATTACTCAGCTCAACTCCGAGCTCATCGATATTCTTTTTGTATCGATTGCGGAATAGCGCTGGAAATGCTTGTTTATTCAAGGTAAGTAAATATATATGTAACGAGGTGTTGGATGTTGGTAGTTCATCGGTTGATTCCATACGACCACTAGAAAATTATAATCGATAAACCATTGTTTGGATTTGATTTGAAAAGGTATGACTTGACTATTTTCAATGTCTAGTAGTTATTTGTTGAAGCGTTTGCCATATACACGTTTAATGTATATGTTACGTCCGATCTATTTTGTACTTGGAAAAAAAAAAAAAAAATGTTCTAGTTCTAACATTTAGTATTGATTTATTGATGGCCTCGTTAATAATCAGGTCGGTCTACAGAACGCAATGTAAAACGTTATTCACCACATTACCATCACAGCTAGTATTGATAATAATTCATGAAAGTTTATAAGTATTATTTAAAACAAACCATTTTAAAGTTCCATTTTACTAAAATGCAGTAAGTCTGTAGTTCGTAGCCAAATACTTTCTGAAGAAGTCAATGCTGAGCTAAAATAAATGAATACAAAAGACATCTTATGATGACAAAAATAATTTTAACAACAAACAAAGTATATTTGACAACAGATCTTGTAAAGAATTACGTCCGATTTTCAAAGTTTGTAATCACACTGTAAGCAAAGCGTTAAGTGAACACGTGATATGTTATAAGAAAATAAAATCCGTCGGTGGATATATTACTTGGGTTGTTCTTCAGTTCGAGAATACCCGATGTGTCTTTACACACTGCCAGAGTCAACATAACTCTGCACACAAAGCGTCGAGCTAAAAGAGTTCCCCCCATTAACCACATGCCTGACGTACGTGTTTCTCTTTGCTTCTCCGGAGTGTACATGTGTGTATAGACACGCATGATAACTTAATGTATTGCTCTGCCGCTGATCAATGACCCTTACCTACCTACACTATAATGTAGCAGAGAAATGACTCGTGATCTGTGACAACTTATTCCCTGACTCGTTGAGTGAGTAATTTTGTTTTTTAATCGCCAAGCTGCAAATAATTGAACATTATCGTTTTTACTCTTTGACGATTACACGTGTACCGTTGATGTACCGTTACCATGTATACCTAATTTGCGCTTCGGCGGTTACATGCGCGCGGTATGTAAAGTGCTCTCTTTTTTCTGCTTCATGATTTTCCGCTTTTTTTTCCCCCGTGCACGTACACTATGTTTTTACTCGTTGCAAATAACATGTAACTACAGGTGATGTGCTAGAAATGCGGAATCATTGGGTCGTTTCAAAATAAAAAAACGTTTTGTAGATTAGGTACCTTCTGGGCGTTTTAAGTTATTTATTCAACGATATTGTTACATCTAACTCAAATAATTTGAGTTTTTTTTCGTTATGATTAGGGCAACGTAGTAATGGAAAATAATAATAATTGGGGTAGTGTCATAACCGAACAGTGAACTACGTCATGGCAGTTTGTTTCAATTTTTTTTTTTTTTTTTTTTTTTTTTGTTTCGTGTATATTATTTGTAGAACATGATAATTCTAAAATCCGTAGTTACAAATAATTGATCCAATTAATTTTTTATTACGTTCGTATCTGCAACAAAAACTTGGTATTAAAGAGTTACACATGTTTCTATGCATTACAAAAACATTTTAGACTTTGAATTTTTTACGTAACGTGTTGGAGCATTGAAATATTTTGATATCGATAATCTTGTACAATTTATGTAAGAATTAAATTAAAAAAAAGCTTTAAGTTTATGCATAGTCGAAAATAGACGAAAGTTTGCTAATCAATGATAAGATACATATAATATGAAAAAAAATATGTATGAGCACTTGGGAGTTTATCGTCGTTGCCAGCCTTGATGTATAATATGCATTATTTATCATTCTTAGCACAGAAATCTCTTGATTTAAAAATCCGCTGTAAAAGTTATTTATCTTATCAACTGTATTTTCAGCATGGAAAATTACACGAACAGATCTAAATGAAGAAAATTCCAAGTGCACATGAAAAACCGTAGTTTTCAAACTTGTTACTCCACCCAAACAAAAAAAAAAAAAGTTAAAACCATTACCAGCAGAACTCGTTTGGTTACCCAGCCAATGTCCCATTTTGTGCTAAGTCACTGAATATACCCTCGCAACGCACATGTAGGTTGCAGAAAAACTCCTTTTTTCGCTCCGTCTCTCCTTTTAAAACACCGAGTCTGGATGAGTTTCAGAAAATGCTCATCAAAATAGCTACTGGCAAAGTTTCAAAGTACGCCTCAACAACTCGAGCATTGTCTTTTTTTTCCACATTTTACATTTTCCAGCCATTGCGGTTTTTTAAATAATAAGTATAGTACTTCCCTGACGGATTTTGAATTCATAAGTATTCATCCATTGTTAGATTTATTAACTTTTTTGCAATCTCCCAAAACAATTAATGATGATGTAAATACTAGAAATTACAGTAATAATTTTTTTTTTTAATTTTCGCCTCTTGAGATTAGTTTTGTTGTTAAAAAAAAAAGTTTATTCTTCGTATTTTCCGATCGCCGAGATAGCAGATCGTTCCCTCACGCACAGATGCATCGACACACGGCAAGAGGAACCAACTCTCTGCGCACATATGTATAATACATGTGATCGCACAGTATGCAGATGCGCACGAAATTTACACTTGCCGTATACGATTCCGGTGTCGTTTGTCGCATGTGCATACACTCAAGTATCGATCTCCATGGCTGTGTACAGTACAGTTGCGACACACACGCATCGTCGGTTTCAGGCCGTGTTGTTGTAAAAGCCAGTGGCAAGAGGAAAAAAAAGCTAGGGTTTTCTGGGTACTAAGATCTCGATCTTTCGCACGAAATCATTGGCGTGACAATTATTCTTTACGCTTATTTCTCCGGTGCTTTTAACGAGAGAACAGTTTCTTTTCTATGAAAAAGCCCCTCCGTCGATGTGTATGTGTATTACTCAAGTCTCGAGCCATCGATTCAATCGACTTTTTCCTTTTGTTTTTCTTCATCGACTCTCTTGTTAATTGAAAATAAATATTGAAGTAGCACAGATGGCATTATTGAAAAAGCGAAACCGATCCGTCTTACGCTCCAAGACTCGACTTCGAGCGCGAAAACACGAGCCACGAGTCCAACTACATTAAAACGACCTTATTCATTTCTGACACTACTCTTTCTTCTTCTGCAGTAACCGACTTGTTTGCATTTGCAGCGTCGCGCAGTTTAAAATTAGATCCCCCTCCTCTCGCCCCTAATCTCGACTAAAAATAACTAAAATTTCTCAGGTTTTTTTTTTTTTTTTTTTTTTTTATAAAAAAAATTACCTTTGTATTACCGTGACTCGGTTAACCAATACGAATATGCGCGCAGCTTTGTATTCACTGCTGCACTGCACTCGGCACAGAAGTGCATAGATTAGAAAGCGCCGAGAAATCACGCTAAACGTTGACGAAATGCTTTCGAAACACGTACCACCTCATTTTTCCCCATATGCTCACTGCCTTCCCCCCCCCCGTCCCCGTTTTCGCTATGCCATCGCGAGGTAATTAATAGCCTCAAGTTTTGCCGAGTTTGGGGTGGATGTAAATAATTGATTTACGTAACCCTCCCCGCGTGGAATCGCTTCGCTGTATAAACATCTACACACTTTTTCATAATATTTTAAATTCCGGGAGAAAGGTATTCCAAAAATGCTTTGGCAGTGATCCGTTGCGCAACTCATCTCGAGACTCATCTCCTCTCTGGGAAAAAAAAAAAAAATACTCAGACCAATGAGCCTCGATTTAACAGAATCTCGCGAGAATCGCGCAAAACAAAAAATTCCTCCTCGACTAATGCCGGATTCTCATGCGATCGGTGCGATGCCATTTGGGTTACTGTAAATTTTCGCTAGTACAAATAGTTTTCCAAAAGCTGTCGGTGGGTTTCTAAACTTTCCATCGTCAACAGCTCTTCTTTCGCTCGATGTGTTTGCGCGAGCGCATTCCGCGATGAGATCGTATAGAAAGCCACCGCAACGTTTAGGGGGGGGGGGGGCACACACATACACACACGCGCACTCATTTGCTTTATTGCCCGTGTGACGTAATATCGGGCTGCTGCGATCGTAATTCTCCTATTTAAATTGGCTCGTTTATTTTAGTTGGCAAAAAAAGAAGCCGAGAGAAAAGGAAAGAGGGGGGGAAAAAAAAAAGAAAGAACGAGAGACAAGAGCGGATAGCTATAAATATTGCACGCTCCCTGTAATTGCCCGCGAACGTGGATGTGTAGGCACGTGAAAGGCGGTCTTAATTTCTGAGATCGCGCGGTGTATAATTTTTTTTTTTTTTTTTTCCTCTTTTCTTTCTTTCTAATTTAAGGGAAATAATACGTATGGTGCGATTGTTCATTACAGGTTTCTTTTTCGTTATTCTACTGCAGTCGTAGAAAGGTTAGA